AGTAGTAGTGGTAGTAGTGGTGATATTATAGCACTCGTAATTGCTATACCTATCTATTGAATTGTACCTACAGATGAAGACAAAGATGTACAAATAAAGACGTGCAGGCCAGAAAGGCTCGGTAAACCTCCGGGAAGCCGACTCCAATGCTGCGGCGACCGGCTCCAGGCTCACGGTGGTGGGCGCCAGGGTGGAATTCTCCTCTTCGTGGGGCTCTACAAGGGTTCCAGAATCGTTTTGGGGTTCACTCCGGGGTTTCCATAACACGGGGTTTAAGGGAATTCTATCAGATGAGCACACGGTCCTACAGGGATCTGTGAAAATGCTGCGGCATTCATATTTTGGGGCATTCGGGCCTAGGCTAAACGTTGCAAGGTCTGGAGTTTCGGGTGCTAAGGTCTGGAGTGAAGGATCTCAAAACAGCTTTCCTGTGCTTTCTGGGCGGGCTATTAAAAGGGCCTTCGTACCTAAAACAAGGCTTTCGGCATATTTAGAACGGGATAACATACGGTGAGACTCGAGGTCTCAAGGTAAAAGCATGACAACTCAACGCCTATCGCTTGGGCTGTTGCTTTGCATAACCGCAAAATCAGCGCAAACGGCGCCTTGACCTCTATGAAGGGGCCACTTCAATCCTTAAGGTGGCTATAAGACTTATATTTGTATTCATATGCTTATACATCTATACAGATCTATATACATCTGTATAAATATACATATGTATATATATATACAGATATACATTCTTTCTATATACATATATATATATATATGTCCTATGACGGGCAGGTCTTACATGTCAGATACATCATGGATCGTTTGTGCACCTGAAGGCGAGCGAAACGGCACCAAAAAAACACGTCCACTGCTAATTTAACCTTGCCGGCAGTGACTGCGGATTCGCCGTAGCTCAAACATCCACATCTCGAACATGTGGTTTAAGCTATAATGGCCAGCCAGGCCTGAAACAGCTTGTTCTTTGACACCAGAAACGAAATCTAGACCAGCACACTGAATCAAAAAAACGATTCGCTGCATCAAAGAAGGGATACGATCCCGAATCCCCCGAGAGAAGGAAGGTCCAGGCGTGCGAGGAGTGCCAGTGCCAGCTCCCAGTCGCCGGTTCCGGCACAAAGCGACAGGGCGGAGTTGTAGTGGATCACCTCCCAAGTCTCAGGTGTGTAGGCTTTCGGTTTAATTTTAGGGTTTCGGCTTTAGTCAAAGCTTACCCCTGTGCTTGACAACTGTCAAGCGTGATCATCGACACCATAAGCATCCCAATTCTGGCAGTCGTGCCGTCAAAAGATTCCCCAACCCCTCTAACCCGAAAACAGCTTTGGGCTTCGGCTACAAGATCCGAGCTGCACTGGGGCGCGGCAGTCGCCCTCGCGGCCGTGAGAGAGCCAGTAGGCCGAGGGCTGTTTCCAGCCTTCGGGCCTTCTCACAAGCCTCGGCGGAGTGCGGGGCTGTTAAGAGTTACTACAACAGCTTCTACAAAGGGCTCTACGAGGGATTCTGTAAGGGTTAGCACAAGGTAGTCTCTAATGATCTAGACTTCAGCGGTTTAGCTGGGCTCAAGCTTTCGCTTCTGGCGGCCTACCTGGTCAGAGAATTTCGCGCCTTGACTGGCAGAGCTGTTCCTACCTTGTGTCGTAACCACTATATCCATAAGCATACTAATTGCTATGTTGATGTTAATCGTAGCAACAATGCTAGCAGGTTCACAGATGACTGCAACCCATGTGAGATGAATCGACCTGTTTCCGTGGAAAGAACCACAGCATTTCAGACACTTGCAACTCAGCTGACAGAAGTCCAACTACCCTGTAGGCCCAAGAGACCAGAATCCCTCGAACCATCAGCAGCCCGGAGACACTCATCAACGCTGAGAATGTTGTCTCCGTCGCTTCTAGGGACCAGCACCTTCACAGGTCTCGAGCTTGAGGTCACAGAAGCCGTTTAATATAGAGGCCTCAATATTGGAATAAAGTTTAGACGAGAATATCTTGCTATCATCATCCAGGAGCTGAAATCATGGGGATACGTCTCGCTTGAAATTGCGGCTGGGGGCGCCGGAAGGGACATGACTGACGACTTCCAGGCGTCTGTATCGGATACATACCGTTTTACTGTAATAACACTAATACGAACAATAAAGAAATACAAACAGCATCACTGAAAATAATCACTAGTACTAGTACTAGGGCACTAGTACTAGTAGTAGTACTAGCACTAGTGCAAGTGATTGCAGTAGTAGTAGTTAGTAGTAGTAGTAGCAGCAGTAGCAGTGGTAGACGTACTAGTAGTAGTAGCAGCAGCAGCAGTAGCAGTAGCAGTGGCAGTAATAATAGCAGCAGCAGCAGCAGCAGTCGTCGTAGTTGTGGGTAGCAGTAGCAGTAGCAGTAGCAGTAGCAGTAGCAGTAGCAGTAGCAGTAGAACTGCTCTGAGGAACTGTCTTAGGGGAAGCAGTAGCAGTAGCAGTAGCAGTAGCAGTAGCGATAGCAGTAGCCGTAGCCGTAGCCGTAGCCGTAGCAGTAGCAGTAGCAGTAGCAGTAGCGGTAGCAGTAGCAGTAGCAGTAGCAGTAGCAGTAGCAGCAGCAGTAGTCGTAGTTGTGGCAAAAATATTAAGAGTGGACATCGCAACAAGGATTGATATTGCCATCATTATCACTGTTCCTACCATACTGCTCGGCCAAGCAGCGCGAAGTCCTCGAAGAGAGCCAGCCCGCGAGCCCAGCACGCCGCCTGGCACCAGAGGTGGGCTTGGCGCTGGTGGTGCTAGGGCTTAGGGTTTTGCCAGAACGGGACAAGAGTTGGAGGTTCAAATGCCTATCTCCAACATCACCAACAGCCACCATTATCATCCGCAGTCGCAGCACCATCACCATCGAAAACAGAAACCCTTTCACATCAGGAGTTTGAGACGAAGTGAACATATGGCCGCCACATCCTCGTGCTTCCTAACCTGGTCGCCCAGGTTGAGGCTCTTGAGCTCCTGGCCTTGAGCCCCAGCTCTTGTCGACGCAGCAAACAAGGTTTGGATTTGGAGCTTCATGTTTAGGGCTTGAGGTTTGAGGTGCTTCGTACGAGAAACACAGGCCTTCCCTTGCGCCCGCCTCAAACCCGAAAAGCCCGAGCCGAACTCCAAAGCACGAAACCAACAACGCCTCCCGAAGCAGAAGACCCGAGGAGCCTTCTCCAGCGCGCTGAGCCCTGCGTTGGCGCTGAAGATGTATGGCTGCATGCCGCACTGGTGCATGAAGCGCACCTTGCCGAATGTAGAGATGTGGAGCTTCGAAACCTTGCGATTCAGTGTGGAGTCTTGATGGAACTCGCCGGATGGATCCCGAATTGCCGGCTGATGCGGTTGTCGTTCTGTGATGTTCTGCACCGACGCCAACCCCTGAGCTGCGGCCGGGGCTCCAGACCCATCGCCTGCCGCCAGCACTTGGCTTTCTCGCAGGCAGAGGTCTCGGCTTGCGGGAAAAAGTTGCGGTGGAGGTTTGGGATTCAGGAGCAAACCCCCAGAGAGTCAGTTTCCAAGGTGTCGTACATTTCGTTCCATTGAGATGAGCCCTGGTTATGAGGAACCCACTGTTCCCGGGGGCTACGTACAGCAGGGCTTCCAATGGAGGACCTGCAGGGCAAGGTTCGGTGGGTACCGAGACCGCTTTAATGGAAGTTTGGCTGCAGACGTCACCTAAGCTACCTCTTTTTCTTAACGTTCAAAAAATCTTTGCAAGTTTCTGGCGGGAGGATTCTATGACAGTAAGCTTCACGCCTGACAACATCAAACAACGGGTAGCAGCAGCCATCGTTCCAAGAATGGATAAACCAAACTCTAGATTCGTCCAGGCCTTCATTACTTACTGTCCAAGCGGCTGCGGAAGCAAAGCCGATCTCCTGTCAGCGGATGGTCCGAGTGGCTCTTGATTGCCATTAATACTCCTCCTTCTTTTTCTTGATGAGCTTCGTCTACTCTTCCGCCTTCTGCGGCTCGTATTACTCACGACTTTGAGTTTTTTGCACGCACTTGCCAGTAAGGCAGCTCCTGGAGCTGTGACTTCTTTGCGCAGACATTGTGTGTACTGCTTGGTGGCACCACGAAGGCTCCTTGCCTAGCCAAACAATCCCAAATATCCTTTCAACCTTACACTCACGCCCGAGCCCGCACTCCTGCTGGCTCACACGCCAGGGACGGAAGGCCTGTCTTTCAGTGGCTCTTCCACAGAAAATGGAGGGTTTCCAGGTTCAAGCTGGTAATCACTTCAGCCCTTATCCCATAGACCTTGAAAAATCTGCGTGCACTCCAGAAACCCCGAGCATTGCAGCATACCCCTGCAATTGCACAAATTGTTACGAGTGCGTCGCTACCAAGGAGTATCATTGAAGTGCCTGTGAGTGTCTACAGAGTCTACACCCCCTACAAACCACTTGTGCCCGCCTGCAAGAGCAGCATGCCCGCCTCCCAGCGGCGATCCTCTGGCTCAGGTTAGGGAGTGGGGCTCAGGTTTTACAGGTTTCGGGTTTAGGTTTTCCGGTTTCGGGCTTAGGGTTTAGGGTTCAGCGGATCTTGCCTACTGTAGACAAGCGCACCGCGCGTTGGTGGGATTTCGGGAGCCTCTTTTAGATGTTGAAAACTTCTGTGGTGATGTTGCAAATAGAAACGTCGAAATCCCTGCATGGATTGTACATGACAATACTACATATGAGGCTTGAGACACTAAGCAGAAGACAGAAAGAGATTACCCTACATATCTAGAAAGGGCGTGTGGAGATTGATGCAGCCTACGAAAACAGCATGATTCTCGGTATTTAATGGCTAGCCATTGAAAAGCCGGAGAAAAAAACTCGTTGCAACCTCTCGCCGGTCCTTCTCGCAGGCACTCACGAGACTTCCTCGTAGCACGACGTTTTGAGCACCACCTGCGGCCTGCAAATGTGAGAGCACCGAGGACACTTAGGCATGAACTGCGACTCGGGTGCTACGCTTAAGCAAGACCCACCTGTGGTCTCAGATTTCCTGTCCGTGTCTGTGTCTGTCTCTGTCTCTGCCTGTCTGTCTCTGCCTGTCTGTCTCTGACAGTCTGACTGTCTGACTGGCTGACTGGCTGACTGACTGTCTGTCTGTGTCCCGCCGTATCCGTCCGTCTGTGTCTGACTGACTGACTGACTGACTGTCTGTCTGTCTGTCACCGTCCGTCCGTCTGTTTGTCTGTCTGTCTGTCTCTGTCGGTCCGTCCGTCCGTCCGTCCGTCCGTCTGTCTGTCTCTGTCTGTCTGTCTCTGTCGCTCTGTCTCTCTGTCTGTTTGTCTGTCCGTCCGTCTCTCTCTCTGTCTGTCTG